TAATATTAGAATAATTGAAAATACGTTCTATATTGAACCAAAATTTCAATTAGATTTTATTATTTAACATGATGAGTCATATAATCTTGAATAAATAATGATGCAAAAAATTATTAAGAATTCGAATGAACATTCAATGAAGAATCAGGAGATTCTTTAATCCAATAAATTCACATATAATGCTTGTTCTCTGTATCATAAATTGGTCGTTGACCATTACTAGCTAAAAGTTGGACTAAATCCCAATAATCTTGAAAATTAACTAGGTGATAAAAGGGTCCAATCATGTCAATATTAAAGTTTTCCCCATTTTACTCATGGTCAGAGTCTAATATTTTCATCTAATATTTTTTCAGTAAGTAAAATATATGTATAATCACTCCATCACATTGCAGTGAAATGGATACTAAAGATTGTTAAGAATTCATGGTTGGTTTTAAACCTTATAAAATATCTCAAGTTCCAATAGTTGATATTTTATAATATGATTTATTGATTGCTAATTTGATTAGAAATTTTTCTAGTATTAAGGAGTGGAATTAAGAAGTTTAAAATTATATACATAATGCATTATTATATTATGTAAATCCTCCCGAAAGACAATTTGAACTAGGAGATCAAAAAATAATTTATTTAGGTGCAGTTACAAATCAAAGACAATAAAAATATCTCAAACACCAACTTTAAATACTCCAATTCAAATTGACGTCTTAGAAGGATAATTTGTTAAACATCATATTTGACAAATCTATAGCACTATGAAGCATGGCCACATTAGATTCTAAGACAAAAATCTCCAAAAAAAATAAAAATGAATTGAATAATGAAGATGGTCCCATTTATGAAGTATATAATCTTAGAATACACATAGACATAACCAATTATAAAATCAAGAAGAAGTTCAAGTACTTGAAATGTTGACAATTGAGAATATAATCTAAAAAATTTTGTATACAACACCTTTATACATAGTGTACCTACTTCTTATAATGAATAGTGAGGTATCAAAATAAATTTGTCAAAGCATATCGATCCAATATATGATTAGCCATATAAAAGGATACAATCCTATTAAAATTAAACTAACTGAGAAATTTGAAGTTTTTGGATTTGCAGTCCGAACACCCATATGTGTATACTTATACAAAAAGAAAAAGTGTAAAATAAAGTCATAATATGTAATGAACGACTTTCTACATAATGAATTTTGCACAGACTTTGCATAAATAGATAATTATCTTATAGTGAATGCAATCACAAATCTATATCTTTTTAGCCCGACAATTCATGAAATTTAATATATGTATAATAAATGTAGTTGTAATTTAGGGATGGCAACGGGGCGTGGTCGGGGTAACTTCCCCCCGCCCCCTAGGCAATTTCCCGCCTCGTCCCTCACCCGCTACCCGTTTAAGGAAGGCGTGACGGGGCCCTTGTCCCGTTTATTTTATTTTTTTTAAGTTTTTGATAATTCATTTTTTATTCTCATTCATTAGATTGAGACAAATATATATATATATATATATATTTATTTATTTCTTTATTTATTTATATTTTATCTTTACATATTTTTTAAAGTTAAATTATTCAAATATATTT